CTGGGGGTCCCCGCACTGGTGGGGGTGGGCACTGCCCTCCTCTGCCCCATGGGGCTGCCTCTCAGGCCAGGGGGAGCGCAGGGCCCTAGCCCCCCTGGGCCAGGGGGGGATGCAGGTTGGGAGCACACTGGCTCCAAGCCGGACATAGAACGGGGGGCTTGTCCTGGACCCCACTTCTCCCCACCCCTGGCATCGCCGCTATGCACCCGGAGAAGTACCAGCTCTGGGGAGGCCGGTGGTGCCAGCGTGCGGGGGACGGGTGCCCGCTCCTGCGGGAAGAGACCCAAGCCCGTGCCCGGCGCGGGGAGGGGCCTGCTGGGGGGTCCAGAACCCCCTGCTGGGACCATCCAGCTCCCTGGGGAGATGGCCCAGGCCACCACCTGCTCCCCTCAGCCCCTCTTGCCTGTCCACTCCCTCGCTCCTGCTGCACCCCTGGCCCGGGCCTGATCCTGACGCTAGCATTGCCGCTGCGAAGCTGCAAAAGCAGAGCGAGACTTTCGAAGCCGAAGGAGAGAGCCCGGGGGGTGCAGGGGGCCTGGAGGCAGCTGCACAGGGGGGACCCCTCGGGCAGTGCCGGAGGAGCGCCGGGGTGGGGGCAAGAGGGTGATTTGGCGGCGGGACGGAGGCAGGGACGGAAGGTGACAGTGGGCTGCTGGAGCAGCCTCCTCTACAGCACTTCATGCTGCTGCTGGGTCGCCTCGCTCACCACCTGCCAGGAGAGAGGCACCGTGAGACACCATGCCGTGCCACCACCGCCACGCAAGCACAGACGCCGTGCTCAGCCTCTGCCGCCTCCCCACCACCCCCCAGGGCCAGCCTGCGCTCACCTCCCCATCACGAGTTTCGATGGTTTTGATCATCACGGTCTTTTTGGTGTGCACCTCGGAGCCGCGCTGCTCTGGGCTGGTCTCTGCAGGCAAGAGGACACAGGGGTTGGGACCGGGGGGACATGTGGCATGGGGGACACAGGGCTTCAGGAGCCCTGGCTTAATCCCCCCTCAGCTCATGGCAGCACCCAACCGAGTGCCCCCACACCATGGGCTCAGTGTGGCACCTATGGGTCCCCAACCTGTCAGCCTGGCTGCAGCCCCCCAGGAGTGAGATTTTCCCCCACACTGGGGACCCCCAGGCACTCATCCCAGGTCCCCCTCCTCATGGGGCAATGCTCACCTCGGAAATTGAGTGCGGAGGCGAAGGTCTGGTGCATGGGGATGCTGATCCTGCGGGGACACAGAGGAGAGACCTCAGTGCCAGCCAGCCCCAGCCCTCAGGTGGCTGCTCACAGGGTGGGACCCCCAAAAAAGAGTAGATCCTGCTGTTCCCCCCAGCTTGTCCTGCCCCCCCTGCCGCTCACCGGTTCTCCTCGCCCTCCAACAGCTTGCGGTAGGTGGCGATTTCCACATCCAGGGCCATCTTGACGTTGAGCAGGTCCTGGTACTCCCGCAAGTGCCGGGCCATCTCATCTTTCAGGTGCCGGATCTCCTCCTCCAGCCGGGCAATGTTGTCCTGGTACCCACTGGCCTCCCCTGCGAAGCGCTCCTCCATCTCCCGCATCTGGCGCATCAGCGAGTCGTTCTGGGGGGACAGGGGGATTCAGTGACGGGGTGGGGGGGACCCGGAGGGGTCAGTGGTCATCTGGGG